TTAAACTATTTTATTCCGATCCTGCTCGCCTAAACAGGACGAGGACAGGAAGACGGCCGGCAAGAATCTTCAATTCGCCAACGCCTCCCCCGTCGTCGTAATCCAAGCGGATATGCGTGCGTATGCGCTCGATGGCCGAAGCAAAAGCAGAGCTCGCTTCGTAAATACTAAAAGACTGATCCCCATCGAGCTCGATGATAGGATTCAGCCTCTGCGAATCGACGACACGCGCACTGAGCACTACAGACTTCTCTGGATTATCGTCCTGAACTTGAGTCCGCATCGGGACAATAATCTTATAGGGAGAAATGTTTCGGACCCTCGTGAATTCATTTTCTTCCTCTCGTCACTGTAGAGATATTTCAAGCGACTACACCTATTCTGTAGCTACTCGATAAAACAGTAATACAGTAAATCTTTGATAAATGTTCGAAGACTCCTCGGCATTGACAAGGAAAGGTCCCCTACTGACTTTTTAACGAGGTGTAGCATAGTGGTAGAGCTTGGAATTATGAGATTAGTGATATTTGTTTCTGCCGCATATGGTCGTTAGTTTACGAAATATTTAATGTTCAATGCCGCGGAGCCTTCGAACACTCATCGAGAAATTACTGTATACACTTCTTGTGAAAATTCTCCAATTGTCGCGAGTGGACAGAGTTTGCCTGAGCGCGATACGAACTGATCCGTGCCGGAAAAGTGCAACGACAGTGGAGGGGGGAACTATCCGAAAAGGGATCGCGAGCAATAAGTCCGAAGGAACGAGGCCACGAGCCGACGCGTGCTGGTTCGATCGAACGGGATCGAGGTACGTATCGATAGCCAGGGTCCACGCCCACGCGCCGCCGAAAAAAGAAAGAAGCCGATTTTTCGAGCCGATAGAGAGCATTCCCGTGCCGGTGCACGGCATACTCTCACACACACAGCGTTTCATTCGTGTCGCAATACGCCTTATGGCACACACGAGGAGGAACGAATGGACGAACCCGACGGACGGACGGACGGACGGACGGACGGACGGAGAGACGCGCAGGGCTACGAATCGGAGCCGTACGTCCGCCCGTTCGTCGATCCGTCCGTCCACCCACGCTGCTTTTGCTCCGAGTGTGGGCAGTTTCCTGTACGTTGGTCACGTATTCCTTTTTCCAGCCCACACGCGTTCGTGTGTGTCTCCTTCTTTCTCTCTCTCTCTCTGTGTGTGTGCTGGCCGAACCGAGGGCCTTCTTCGCGGATGATCTCTTCTATGCGCCGCGGCGGTTTTTCTTCTTTTTGTGGACGGACGATTGGAGAGGAAGAGAAAGAGGGAACAAGATAAACAGTGGAGCGAGGGATTTTTGAGGATGTAAAGGATCTAGGGATTTTAGGGATAGGGATCTCGTGAAGTTTCGGGGTATAGAAATTGCGGAATTTGGAGATAGGGATATTGTGATGTTTCGGGGACTAGAGATTGCGGAATTTGGAGGTACAAGGATCGAGGAATCTGGAGAAGTAGGAATCGTGGAATTTGTTGATACAATGATCGAGGAGTTGAGAAAAACAGTAGATAAGGGAATCTAAAGAAGAGACACGGTTCGAGGAACGTGAGGAATAAAAGATTCATGAAATTCGGAGATACAAGGACAATAATATTGTGGGGAATACAAAACCAAGTACTCGATGCAGAATACAGAAAACCTCACGACGCCACGAATATGTCGAAAGTTTCCAAAACACTACCGATGTAATGTGTGATTTAGAAAAGCGATCAAGATCAAAAGGTTAGAGAAAGAAACAGTGGCAAGCCGAAAGGAAGTTCGAAATAGACAATTAAAACACACGAAGGAATCACAAAAGAGGACCTAGAAAATCACAGAATGAGAGCGACAAATCAGCAACGCCAGAAAAATCGGAATTGGGGACTCCGATGAGCCAAAGAGAACCAGCAAACCAGCAGAGTAAAGAATGAGACGCGTGCAAAGAACCAAAGAATGAGGACCGTGGAGAAGCAGTGTCGGTGAACGAACGTAGGAGAGAAAGAGAGAAAAGAGGAGACGAGCACCCCCCTCTGTTCCTCGGCTCTCTTTACCGAGCACACTCCCTCCTGCGTGCCATATGTAAAAGCATAGCCGCATTGCCGGTGGAGTGACGGAGGAACTCGTAGGACTTACGGACTGGCTGCGTGCGTGCGTGTGTCGCGTATGCCGCTCTGCGATAAAACGTGACGTCACGGGCCACGTGATCGTACGATACGGTGGGGGCAGCCCATTCATAATCCGAGGAAGGACAGGCTTAAGGCCGTTTTGGACGTTACCTCGAACCGAACGTCGTACCAGCCTTCTTCTCATTTTTCTCATTCTTTTTTTCCCTTCTTTCTGTTCTTTACACACGTCTCGTCTCACTCCCATTCTTTCTCTTTCTTTCGTTTTATCGGCCGAGCCACGGTTGATGCACCACACCGACATGCATATAGGAACCAGCCCGAACATTGTCGAAGGAATGATAATGCTCGAGATCATCCCGATGCGAATTCCTACGACCGGCCACGTCATCTTCCACATTTCTACCGAGTATACTCCAAATGATAATTTATCACGACCTCCCTTCGATGTGTACCTTTTGCGTGAGCGTCCTTCTTCTAATGTATCAAGAATTGAAGACGCACGTCGTTGAGTACTCGCCATGAAGCTTAGTATTTAATTATACGTATATTAATGTTGTATGCTGACACTAAAACACGCGGAAACTTCCCATTTAACTCAATATTAGACAGTTTGGAGTAGTATAGTATAACAAATTGAAGGCCAATATAATGGCCGAGGTTCATGATTTCAGTAATTGTGAAATAAGGAATTTGAAATTTGTCAGTTTGACGGGTTTGGTGGTTGTAGTGTTAAAACAGATCTGTATGTTACACGATATATCAGTTTCTCGAAACTTGAATCCAAACTGGATCCTCACCACCAAACCGTGGAACCCAAACTAATTAACTCCGTAAAACGAAGAAGAAGAAATAACAAAATACGTAAAATATACGAAATTAAACGAGTTAAAAATATTGAAACTAATAAATCAATATAATATGTTTGGTAATATAATTTAACTTTAAATATCTTTGGAAAAAAAAAATAATTTAACATATGCTCCTGTTATCTTACTGATCCGATCATTGTTGACTATAATGAAAAATTCCGTTTTTCACGACAAGTAATGGATGCGTTTGGAAGCAGCATCTAATTGTTTCTATCTCGTCCAACGAAACTGGCAGTCCTACTTGCTGAAGCTCCCGAACGTGTCTCTCAGCCCGCACGTAGAACCCACTTATCCATCCTCTTTACTTCGCCAATCTTTGCCAAGTGACGAAAGATCGTAGAGGAACTACCATTCATTCGCAAAGCTATTTCCCGTACAATTTAACGTGGACTATTTTCGACGGGCTCTTTCAAAATTTCATTGTTTACCCGTTTCCTCCGGATTTCCTGTTGGCTCGACTTCCAATGACATATCGCCGGCTCGGAATTGTGAAAATCACCGTGTAACGCGCTCTTTGCGTCAACGGCCAAAGAAACACGCGACACGGAATGGAAAATGTTTTTTTCAACCGATATGCCCGAATACCATTTGAAATTTCGAGAGGTGGTTTCAAAAAATACGTATCCCTTATTTTTGACTGTTTAACAGACATACGAAGTTTCATCAAAATCGGAAGGGGACACTTCCGTGCCATCCCTTGTCAGACAAGAGTATATTTACCCATCAATTTGTGTTCAATTTCTATCAAATTTGCGAGAAATTAAAAAAAAGCTAGACTTCCTTATAACAAACGCCACGAATCCAGTAACATTCATGTTCATTCCTTGAACAATTTTCAAAGTATAGTTTAAAATAAAGAAACCAAATATACTTCCAGAGTAGGAAGACCCAACAGTGTATGCCCTATGCTGATGGGAACCATGTTAGTTTCAATTTTTTTACTTGACGCTAGCGAAAAATCCCGGGACATACGAGACACCCTATGGAAGCCTACAAGGCGTGCCCACGGATGCACAACACGGCTGATAGCACGATGGATCACAACTACAAGCACCGTATGCAACCAATGAGTCGTATCCTGCTAAACTGTTAAGAAGGAAGTGGTTCGTTGCCGCTCTCCTCTCTCCTTCTATCTCCGTCCACGCCTCGCCCCTCTCTGTCACGCCGGATCCGTCCTTTTCGGTTCTACACGCACCGCGATCTGCCCTCTCCGTCCCCCCTTACCCTTCGGTGTCTATCTTTCTGCCGGTCGCCGCGCGGTTACGCTTCACTCGTTGCTTCGGTGGTTCCATCATTGAATATAAAGATCGCGCGAAAGGTCGATGGAAGGAACCGCCAACAACGGCGTGTCTGAGGACCCGCGGTCGTATTAAATGCGTGACCACGCGTTTTCGGAAAACTGTTCCAAACGCGGATCAGCTGCTGTTCGCTTGTAATTCGTAATTGAACGCATCGAGACTGATTGACGAGGTTTATAGATACACTTATATAAACAGCACGGCCACGAGTGGCGAGAATCATTGACACACCGTGTAGATAGTACAGATTGCAATAATGATAGTAAACGTTCCAAAAATCCTGGCACATTTGACCTATTGAGGTGTAGTTTTGTTGTAATGAAATACAACACTAATAATAATGATGGTTGACGATCGTTGAAAGCAATAGGGTTTATGCAACTGGTTGAATAATTAAAGGTTTTTGTTTCTTTAGTTTAGGCCTCGTGTACTGTTCAAATAACTGTCACATTAAAACTATAAATTGAGAGAAGAAATTGACTAAATAGTAAGGCACTCACATTGTTGGTGTGAAATGAATTTATACATTTTGTATAACAAAAATATGGAATTAAGATGTACGGTTAGCTTTTGGATCAAGTTGCCGAAACAGTATACGAGGTTTAAGAAAATCGTGTCCGCACTTTTGTAATGACCCTCCCATACAACTATACATTATTATTATTGAAATGTATAAATAAATATAAGACTCACCGGAATCTTACTGCTCTTCAGGAAATCCAACAACGCTTCGAGTGCACCCAATGTCGACGCTTGCACGAAGACCCCACGTTCCGCGAGCCGAATATTGCTTAGTGCATGAGTCAACTCTCTTGCGATCTCTTCCTTCAAGATATCCACCTCGTCTGGCTTTTGAGCCACTTGGAGATTCAATCCTATTCGAAAAGTATTAAATTATAAAAAAGGAATACTATTATTTCAACACGAAGTACACAATAGTTCAATAGAAAATCATTGATTATGACAGCATTATTATGATAGAAGTATTCCTTACCTGCGATTGCTTTTTCCAAGTCCTTCGCGGCGATTTTGACCCCTTGTGCAGCTTTAACTTCTCGATGTTCAATGTAAGCACTCTGTAAAGAAGAATGAAAGTACTAATTTGTATAGCAATAACAAACCAAAACAATTGACCCGCGGTACTATGAGAATTCAATAAATAATATGATTATTTCAAACATTTCCATTTCCTTACTTTAACTCTCAATTCCTTCAATGGTTGTGGCATAAGAAGCGAACGTATTTGAGTCACTATAGGACCATCGGTACCAGCGACTATCATTGTATCACCTTCTTTCAACAATCCATTGATTAGAATACAATCTATCGTCGTACCCAGACCAGGTAACGCTTTTACTTCTAAAACTGTGGCTTGAAGCTCCTCGCTGTACATGAGTCTCTTAGCTAGTAGACCTTGGCAAGCGTCGACGATTAACGCCAATAGGTTGCCCATACCCTCACCTAGACGAAAACAATAACTTCGTCAGAAATTTGACGCCGCATGCCGTTTGTAATTAATACATATAAATATACCAATATACCTGTGATAGCGCTAGTGGGAACAAGAGAGACATAACTTCTAGGATCAGGATTTTCATAGAACAACGCGGCGTTCAGCCCTTGCTCAGCAAATTGCACGATCACCTCCTTTGAGCGTTTCTCAAATTCTCGCTGTGTATTAATCGCTTGAGCTTTCACAATGTCTTGGACATCTTTTCGACTCATTGTTTCCCAATCGTATAATCTATGAAAATTTCGTTAATGTCATTTTATCACCAATTTCTACGAACTTATTTATATACAGTAAGAAACTGCGTTGAACTTTAATACTTTACCTATCAATCTTATTTAATGCTACGATGAAAGGACATTTTTTCGATTTCAGTAGGTTAATACTTTCAATAGTCTGTGGCTCTAAACCATGCATAATGTCCACTACTAATATCGCTATATCACAAAGAGAAGATCCTCTGTTTCTTAAATTGCTAAAAGATTCGTGACCAGGAGTATCTATAATTAACAGTCCAGGGATTTTTAATTTCTTGTCAGCAAACTGAAAAATCATAATTTTTATTTAAACGTGATTCGTAGACGAAATACATCTGAACAATTATGAAGGAACAACTTACTCCTTTAACGTGTCTCGTTGAATCCTGAATAGCGTCGATAGGTACGTTTGTTGCACCTATTTGTTGCGTAATACCACCTGCTTCGCCATCTTGCACATTCGTTCTTCTCAATTTATCAAGGATTTTCGTTTTGCCTGTATCGACGTGGCCTAATACACAGACTACAGCAGCTCTAAGAGTATCCAGCGATTTCTTCTTTTCCGCTTCTATCCTTCGAAGTTGTATTCGTTCTCTCGCTCGTTCTTTCTTCCTCGCTGCATCCGATACTTTATCCCCTAAACCACTATCATCTTCGCTTTCCTCGGTATCCGACTCACTGCCACTTGCACTCGCCGACTCACTATCTGAAGATCCTTTCGCGGCTTCCTCAGTTTGCTTCTTTTTCGATGGAAGAATGGTTCCTGGTTCCTTCTCGGGTGTTTTTGGCACATCGTCTGATTGATCTGAAACATTATACCTTATTAGACAAGATTTCAACTTTTATTATTGTAATTTCTTCTGTAAATGCATGTGAATTATACCTTCTTCCTGTTCTTCCTCGCTACTTTCAGCATCCCATGAATCTTTAACGTCGTCCGCCTTCTCTTCCGTTTCCTTCATCTGTTGATCTACTATTTCCACTTCAACTTTATCCGTATCTGTAACGCCCCCTTCCATTTTCTCATCATCCTTTTCGTCAACGCTCATTTGTTGCTTCAATTTATTCGGTCTTAAACGTGTTCCTGAATCAACCGATTATTATGTACAATTCTGATATTTAATTAAGAGTATATTTTGTGCGTATTATTTTGAATTACCTGGTCTGGGTTTCTTTTCTCCTATCTCTGGTACGTCCAATCCTTGAGCTTTAAGCGCGTTAATCATAGCTTGCGCCCTCGCTCTGTCCTGTTTCTGCTTCGTAGTCAGAAGCTTTCCTTCCGCCTTTAATCTCTCTTTTCTCTGCTTTTCCTTAAGTTTTTTTCGTTCTTTGCGTTCCTGTTCAAGTCGTATCTGCTCTAATCGCTGCTGTTCCCGTATTTCTTCTTGTCGCATTCTTTCCTCCTCTTCTAGCTTCATTCTCTCTTCGTCCTCCTTTAACTTCTTCAATGCTTCTTGCATCGCAGCAATAGTCTTCTTTCCAGGACCTTTGCCTATTTCAAATATCTAATTATACTAAATGTGGACACAAATTAATGTTATATTCTATCAAATATACCTAGTTAATGCTTTACTTGTTCTAGTTAAAAAAAGTTACTAAACTATATGTTACCTTTGTCTTTTGGATCCTCCTTTACCCCCTTTTTCTTCTTCTTCTTCCCATCCTCAGCTTCAGATGGAGCAGCTTCTGCTTCAGCAGCATCTGGTACCTTTGTCTCTGGTTCTTTTTGTATTTCCTTTTTCGTCTCCTTCTTGGTCTCTTTAATAGGAGGGGCTTCATCCTTTATTTCAACATCTTCTGTCTTGTCGACTAGTTCCTATTACAGTGAAGTTAAATAAATAAATTATATTATCCCTTCTAATCCTCTTCCTACAAAAACGGCCAAATATATTAGATATATACCGCTTTCTTTTGAGCAAGTTTCTTCTGTTTTTCTCTCTCTTTCTTCTCTTTTTTCTTCTGTGCCGCAGTTTTTACAGTACTAGCTTCAACTTCGTCGTCCATTTCAATGTCTTCAGAAACTTCCATACATTTCAACTCTTCTTTAATGTCAATGATTTCAGTCTTTTCTTTCTTCTTACCCTTCTTTTCTTTCTTCTTTTTATCTTCGTCATTGTCAACTTGCTGCTCAACTGGTTCATCCGGAACTTCGTTCTTTTGTCCAGAATACTCCAGTTCCAATTCAGCCAACACTTTCTCAATATCCTCGTCACTATCATTGCGCTTTCTTCTGGCTGATAAACACAGATTACATAAATTAAATAAAATAACACATATTTGCATGTCAGTAACAACATGATGTATATAAGAAAAAAGACTTGCATGGAAAACAAATAAAAACATACCTATTTCAAAATCAAATGATTAAGCATTACATTTAATTTCTTTATTTTTAAACAAATTTTTTTATTATATAATAACAATGTTGGAACAATACATAAGCAGAAAATTAATACTAGATTCACTTGAACATCTAAACAGATTTGAATTCTAATATGACACGAAATTTTCTATAGGTCACGAAACACACCCTGCTACTGTACTTTCACTATCTGGTTCACACCTGGACAACTTTCACTTTCCACTGGATTTGACAATGTGACAATAATGTACATATAATGCTGAATGTTTATATTCTATGACGTTCAATACACTGACTCATCATCGGTAACATATTTATATTCAATAGAAGAAAATATCGCGTTATCTAACGTCACCTCCGAATGATTATGGAATACACATGCATAAACCGAAGTATCGAGACAATTTTCACAATGCAACGAAAGATTCAATGTTTTTCGTACCAATGGAACAAACTGGACAATCTGGACTTTGACCTGTCAAACTACGAACATGATGAAGAAACTAAGAATACATTATTATCCATTCCGTATGCAACAGAATAGCGGTTATGTTGAGGTTAAGTTCAAGCAGACGACATTTCACATGTGAGAAGAAGACATTAAAAGTTTCATAAAATTCGTAAAAACGTGAATTCAAAACGACAGTAGTATCCTGTTATACCATGTCTATCTAAATAATAAGTACGTCTATTTTCTCACCTTTCTTGCCTTTCTTCGGCTGAGCTTCCTGCATCTTGATCCGCTTTCGAGACTTTCCTTTTGTACGTTCAGTTTTTCAGCGATATCTGACCGTTCCTCTAGCGAAATTCTTTCCACAAAACGCTAACTATATTTCGTCTTTAAGTTCGAGTAAACTGAAATCCACTTCGAATAACACACATGAAATCAAGATATTCCTGTCTCTCCCTCTGACCCGGCTGCACGATTATGAGGATTATGTGCACAACTGAACCACATATTCTAACTCTACAAGATGTGCAAAACCTCTGGGTTATTTATCTTCTTACTAGGGCAATGGTTATACCAACACTAAACCTCCAATAGAGAACCTGTTAAGGATGTGGCTCTAGTAACATTGTAAAATATGCGTTACAAAACATTCAACCCTAACAAGCATTCAGAAACAATCTCAAATTCATTTCAAGTAGTGAAATAAATGTTAATCCGAATGTTAATTTCACATTAATTACAGTAATTCCCGAGACCAAGTGGTAGAAGACTTTTCCCCTACGCCACTTTTTCCTCTAGCAGAAGCCGAGCCGACCCACCAACAACTCAAGAGGCATTGACTGGCATAACGGTCGTATATACGACCTCGCTATTGCCATCCCCCTCTTGTGTCGACTTTGAACACTAATTCCCTGACAGCTAGTAATTTTCTTAAATGGCGCCACATTCAAATATTTACGCGATATTCTCACAATAAATTTTATCCAAGTTCGAGGTGGTGTACTGTAAATTAAGAGAAATGCCAAAAATTTTATATGCTAAGAGTTGTTTCCAATTGGATCAAATGAACAAATGGATTAACTAAAAACATTATACAAAATAAAAGCATAATTTAACTCGTAACAGGAACATTGGTAAGTAATACTTTTATTATCATTCCACCAATGTAAATACGTGACACCTGACATCACAAATATTATCCAACATCATAGGGATAGAAGAAGTCATGAATAAGATGTCTCGCACAAAAAATCGAATCCCGGTTAGAGTTTTAAGTATACGCTTCCGTCATGGTTCCATACGGAAATAACCGGAGCGATTGTGGAAGATTCGAGCGAACTCAATCAGTTCTGCTCGAGTGTCGGAGGCAGCAACGTGGTCCAAGAGAAACACGGGTTAAGAATGACGAGCAAGAAGTCAAGTCTGACCGTGGAATTTAATCAACCTAGTGACAACGTAACACAGTCAGTGGAGAAAAGCCGGTCCTTTCGCGAGGAGCATATAAAGAAGATCAAAGCAACCGCTGGACACGTTGGACTGCTGATCACCCTGATGCTATACACAGCGATCGGCGGTTTGGTGAGTCAGATTCATGTGTATACTTAGCAATAACCGTATACATAGTGAGTTAGTAAACTCAACGAAGTCACGATCAGTAGCTACTGACTCAGCTTAGGCCCCGGACCGTCTTTGGCGCACGAACAATTTTCAAAATTAATGTAAAAAGGAAAGTAATATAAAAAGGGGGGGGGGCAAAATATTGGGAGAATACTTCTAGAGTCAGTACTTCCCGAAGACACTAGATCTGGTATGGTCAATAACAAGAAGAAGAAATTCATGTTTCTTGGCAGAGATGCGAAGGCAGGTGAGCTATAAAATGGAGTTTAAGTCTCAGTCAATTGAATTCATATTCCTATACCATTTTAATGATTTGTGCTATCAGAATCTGGTCACCTTATGGAGTTAGTGGCAAGATTCGTTGCAGGCAGGGTGTACGCTTTCGCAAAAAATTTATTCAATAACTAATTAAAACTTCCAAATTAGTGGATTTTATAAAAAAAAAAACAACATGTTAGACTGTTAAGCTGCCAAGATACTAATAGTTACTTTAAATAAGAAGGCAGAACTGACAGAAATGACATGTCTACATGCGAAAATAAAAGATATTATAAAAATGTTTGTGTTCATTGTACTAAAATCGAAGTGTCATTAAATGTACTCTTCGATTTTCGGTATTAACATCCTTCCACATTCGTTACTTAGTATGTAGTAACGTGGTTTATGTCTTGCAAGAAGTTCGAAAGTTTACAAATAAATGTTAATGGCGGCATTCGGCCGGCGCTACTGAACGTAACCAGCGGGACTGCACGCTCCTGGTTGTTTAGTTTCGGGATTTTATGCGGCACGCGCAATATTTATAGAGATAACAACGCGAGACTGGATTTCCAATCGGCGTCTTTATTTTTAGCGATGAACCAATCGTTAGACCCATTACACGATTCCGGCCACTCTATTCTGTGAAAGTTTCGAGTTGTTCGAGTACAAATCGTTTACGTTGCGTGCTATATTTTAACCCCACGGACAACGGAATGATTAATGTCCCCGTGGAAATCGAAACCGAACCTACATTCAATAAATACGTCAACAATAAACTTCAACAGTTCACTACTTGCCTTTGAAGGGGTTTGCAAACACATAGCTATAGTCTTGTCATCATTATCGAGAACATAAATGTCTCGTATCATTCTTCCGAATAAAGCTATTTAAACATTAAAAACTAAAAATCTTGAATCGTTCAATTTGATATGATATAACTGTGCTGAAAGTCAACAGGTCTATCCAGCATTAAAATCTTGATGTTACTTACTATGTTTAATACACTTATCTCGTGTTGATGTATGATCCTAACCCCTCAGATCGAAAAACTGTCGGAGGGCATTATCCTCCTATTTGCAAAAGCGATTCCGTTCAATCGTCGCTCCAGAAACGACTGACTGACCAAAATTCGTGAACTAGAGAGTGTAGTGTAAAAAACAGTTAAAATTTACAGTTTAAACTGATCTTTTGCGTGTTCATCGGGGGCAGGTGTTCCGACACATCGAGCTTCCGGCAGAGTTGGCGCGACTGGAGAGTTTGCGCGCGAATTTACGCAGCCAGAGAAGTTCGTTCGTCGACTCGATCTCGAATAACACCGATGTATCGAATCTACGAACTTTGGTAAGTTGACTGCCCGTCTCTGTTTTTCCACGAAGATCATTTCTCGATGCTGGCGAAATATTATTGTAGGTCAGCGTAAAATTACGTGATTACGAAGAGGTCGTTCAGGAAGCGGCACAGGGTGGCCTGTTAGTCAGCTTTGTGGCGGACACAATCGATCAAGAAGATCGAGCCACAAGAGATCTGCCGCCGGTCGTCACTGAAAGATGGAGCGTTCTTCAAGCTGTCTTCTTCGCTAGTACTGTTCTCACGACAATTGGTAACGATTCTGAAAATTCTATCTCAACCATCACCGTTTGCTTATCACTATTGCTTCGAACACCTGGTTAACCCTTTCGTTCCTTCTGTCGCCATAAGGCTGCGTATTTTAAATTACGAAATAGAATATTATTATCGTCTGTAGTTGTTATAATTAGTACCGTCGTGTTTCAGGGTACGGTAACGTTGTTCCCTCGACTGGCTGGGGCAGGATCTTCTGTATATTCTTCGCTTTCGTTGGCATACCGCTCACATTGATAGTGATAGCCGACTGGGGAAAACTGTTCGCCGCAGCAGTGGTCAAAGTTGGGTTAGTCGTGAAGTCGAAGCTTCCGTTTCACTATTCCGTTCCCTGCGTTCCTACAAACTTAGCCGCAAGACGTTCCCTCGGTGAGTTTACCTAGTTCAAACTATCTAGGACGATGGTCTAAACCTCAACGATAATCTTGAACAGTTGAAATATTTTGCATCGCCGTAGAACAAGCTTTCACGTGTTTCCTCCTTTATGTATGCACAACGCGTTGTAAATATTTTCACTGGCAAGTATTAGCCACCGACTTGTTTTCTATACCATTACAGGAGCTCTGGCAGCGATCGTTCTCCTGTTTTTGTACCTCGCATGCGGCGCGGGAATGTTTATGTTGTGGGAAGACGACTGGGACTTCTTCGACGGATTTTATTTCTGCTTCGTGACGATGACTACCATAGGTTTCGGCGACCTGGTGCCGAGTAAGTAGTCAAACATATGGGTTTCGTTGAGGGAACGAGCGTAAATAAAGCGAGAAAGAGAGACAAACGTAAATGCTAAAACGGGACGGGTATTTTTGCTTCCTTTTTTTTTTTTTATTTTTTACGCGAACACTGTCTACCAGACGACACAGTGATGTTTGTGTCCAGGTAGTGGGTATTTATACATAATTATAGCTACGCTTCGTGTCGTCGCTCGTACGCAGAGAAACCAAAGTACACGCTACTGTGCACCCTTTACATTCTGGTCGGTTTGGCGTTGACCAGCACCATCATCGAGCTCGTGAGACGACAATACACTCAATCGTGGAGGAGATTGCAGAGATTCAGTGGGCCGTTAGCCGATGCGATACGGAAGCTGGGCGAGCAGGCTGGTGGCGATATGTCTGCGCTCCATTCGGATCTTAGGTAACCTTCTTTAATTACACTTTGATGGACACGATGCAGGGAACTTATAATAATTTCATTTGTTAACTACTGAGGCGTTTAGCTCACGCAAGAACAATCTTGTTTATAGAAATTTCAAACTAGAAGATCTCAGAGCTTGCTCAGGATTGGGAATAGTGTCTCAATACTTTGGTTTTCATTCGTTTTGCAATGAGAAACAGTGTTCTTAAAATGAAACGTTAATTTGACTAGTTCTGTGTCTCTTATCCACATGCAGTATAATCAAAAGTATTGTCGATATAAAATTCTCACGTTAATTTTAGGAAAGTATTGACCGTGATATCGATGCCACGTTTAAAGTGGTCAGCCTCGTTCAGTCGGGCGGACTCGAAGGATCAAGAATGGGAAGAGGCAGTGGAGGCTGTACTTCGTGATATTGCTGCCAACTCTGCGCAGCCGAATATAAAGCCGATTGTTCAAATTGTTATTTACGAATCTAGCGTCTGACCCATGAAAATTTCCCGTTGAAGTGTATTTCAAAGATATGGTCTAGTCATTGTGTTTGTTTAACGGGACAATGTTACGAACGCGTGGCGATTTCTGTATGCGGTCCCAACGAGAAGTATGAGTCGAGATGTCATGATTATGGAAAATGGAAACTATTATTTTACAAACATGGATAATAATTTTTCTATATGAAATTTAATGAATCCTTCTGACTTTATATGTATATACTCTTGGTCACCAGCTTATGGCAGGAAAACTCTCGACAAAAGTAATTGAATGGTATCAGAACATCGCTACCGCCGTCAGTCTCTTTACCATCATTGAAATTCTGAACCTGAAATCCGTTTCCGAAGGTAATACCGCTAGACTAGCGTGTATCTTTCATATGCATTTACATAAATATTAATTTACCATTAGAAAATAAATATTGACATGACTTTATCAGTTTAATCAACTTAAGAATTTGTCGATTTACGAGATATCATAGCGGTAGAGTATATCTAAACGCACAGTCAATATTACAGATCCAAATAGTTTTCCGTTTCTTTTAAAAGTAACGACAGATACTTGTTTTATATTGGGCGCGCAATGTGCGCGCGTCGACATGTCATACAAGGGTACGCGCAGTAACCGCCACAACCCGGAGTTCGATCCGTAGTCCCAATGTTGGACCGACCGGATCGACGAAAACAATAATTTTCTAGAGAAGTAGTCGCTAAATTTAGAAATCGCGGCACCGCACGAACTACGACAGGTGACGTTGCTTCTGCGTCCTTGGTCGGCCTTCGTGGTACTTCACGGTGACATACGAGGCTCCGGCTGGTCCAGATCATGCAAAATTCGTCCCTTCTTCAAATCAACACCGAGAGGCCCTCGGCTCTCGTGTGCATCGCTTATCGTGTGCGTATATTTCAACGGAAAATTTAATACGAATCGTAATGTACACCAATAGTGCTCGTACTTCACAGTTTTTATAAGCTCGGTAGAACCTTAACTGTATACGCGTGAATGCCAATAGACTGAAGTAGCGTACACGTTATTTGATCGATAAAAGAAGGAAGCAACATTAAACGAACCATCTTGGAAAATTATTTTATCTTTTCTTTTTCCTACTAACAATTGCTTGTTACAATAGTTGCCTGTTTGACACTCTTGGAACTATCTGAAAATTTATATGTATATATTTAGCAGCACATATACACCACACACGTAGTTTATGTCACAAAAATTGAATCTGCATATGAAAATAATCCACTTCCAAAAATACCATCAGGTTTACTGAATACCAATAAAACACAGTATAAGCTGAAGGGTACCACTCCCGTAAAGTACATGTATAATAAAATATGCAAACATAATTTTTTATTGTATAACTTGAAGGGAAAATATTTAATGCACAATTAGACAATTACGGGGATTTTTAAAAAAAATTTTCCATAACATGTACTGGCATAAGTGAAACAAATTTTTAATATGAAGTAAATAAAGCGAATTCCGAGTTTCTGATTACATTTTTTAACTTTCTTTAAAATGTAAGGCGTTAACAATACCTATGTATGTGCAGCCGTGTGGAATATCGGTACATTAAGCTAGGAATATGGATTTTCAGTGATTCCTATCGCTTATTACTTGGGTAACATATTGCCCAAGCGACATGAATCATTTGAGTGCTATATTCACGGCTTTAGTTTGCGCGGTTCTTTTGAACGCGCATAATAAAATACATTTTCATCCTAAGTTACAAACGGTTTCGAAGAAATTCATAATGACACTAATGTGATATTTATATAAAAACAGACGATCAACAAACGAGATTCAAACGTATAATTTTTTTACAAATAAAACTTACTATGGTTAATAGTTTATACGTTTTTCTACAAATGACACGTATGGTTCATATTACATCTTATTAATATAATTCGATGTACTTAAATATTTTGTTATTTTAGCAAGTTAGTACGATGACTGGGGCCAAAAATCCTGCAGAGCAACCGAAAGTGGAAGAAATGAACGAAGCAATAAAGCAGAACAATGTTATTATGAAAAAAAGGTTTGGAGATTTAAAAATCAATTCCATGGAAAGTTTCCTGGAGTTCTCTAAGGACATGATGGAATCTCTTAGGTGATCGGTTACGCAATCAATCAAACTTAGATCGATACTATTTCCGCGCTTGTCGTGTATACTGACGAGCAACCTCGGCTTCCACTAGGGGAAAAGGTAACGTAGAGAAAGGGCCTTCTACTACTTGGTATTTGGAATTACTGAAATGTACGCCAAATTAACATTCGATTTAACATTTATTTCACTACCTGGAATAAATTCACCAAGTGGTAGAAGACGTTTCTTTTACGCCGCTTTTTTCTCTAGTGGAAGCCGATTTTATATGTATGTATGTATGTATGTATATCTCGCTGAATATTTTGAAATAATGCTGTTGTATCTGTTTCTTAGGTCGTTATTAGAGGAGTTGAAAATTCGTTTCGAACAATTTCGTGAACAACAACAGAACATCTTCGATTATTTTTCGCTGTCTAATCTGCAGAAGTTGACTCAACGGGAACAATAAATTAGAAAGTGCCGAAGTATTCATATTCTTTAACACATTCATGTTTTAAATATCATGGTTTTTAATGATATAAGTTTACACGATCGATACTACTGCATATGCATATTGTGAATATACAACATCGTAAAGTTGTTTTAATAAAAAGAACGTATATAATACTGATGAAAAAATTGAAGGTTAATTATACTTCGGCATCACCCCACCCCCGAGACAAGTAAAAATATCGAACAGTAGTTTGAAATGTAATGTTTGTATTTGCATAGGAACATTAACATTTCAGGGTCGATACATGCGAGAAATGTATGTTCATTCGATATATCGATATAAATGGACGCCATGATGGTCTGGAGTACGATTACCGCCAATTTACTGCGTGGTAATGTGTTTGTGGCTTAATCGCACCGCCAAAAAAGTCTGCTTTTTTTTTAAATCGAACCAACTTTTTTTCAATACAAAGTGAAATTAGTTCTCTGAAATAATTCGTGTATTTTGTTGGTTAACTCAAATGCATCACTATGGCAAGTCCATTTTGTTTTCTCTGTGCAAGCGACGAAGGCGTTTTCTTGGATATCACCATTGAGAACAAACAAACGTTTCAGCAGCAATTCGACATTTGTTCACTGAAAAAGGTAAGATTATCACTAATGTTTTGTTATTGGTTCTATATTTGAATCCTATTCCATTCGCTAGATTTTGTCTGAGCCTGCGTCAATAGCCATGCACATTAAGTAACAATAATATTCGGCTAGTAGAGTACATTGAATTCATCATTTTGTAACTAAATTACTAGCAATTGCAATTAGCGAGCAAATGATTTGGGTATCAGTTCTGTTTAATCACTATAATCAACAATCATAAAAATGTTAATAAATGCATTTGTATGTATTAATGTATGATAACCATTAGGTTTGACAATATCCATTTCTTGTCTAATACAAATGTGGGCATTGTGCAAACTGTGTTGTTTATTATAGAATTCAGAACTGTTTTCTCTATTTTAGTATTTGTTAAGATAACCTCTGTTTTGGTTTATGGTCCAAATTATAGGCATATTCAAGTTTATTTTCTGTAATATCTGTAATATGTAGTGATACTTCAAGTTCTAACATTTAATTTCTGTTTATATTCTATTTGCTTAATCAATAGTTCTTTGTATTATATCTGTTGCTTCATAAAATCATATTCCATGACAGGTCATTGAACTTCTTCATATATAGGATTCCTTCCTAGAAACATATTAAAAGAATATCATCTCTAATGCTCAAAGTTATTTTATTATTAAGACTATTTAAATATAGTGATACAATTGATACTAATAACGTATAAAGTAGCTGTAATTTTTAAGGTGCCAATGTATGTTTATATGAATTACAAATAAAAAAAAAACAATGATTTTTGTCTACATACCATTATATTATTAGCATTGTATTATTTTTTATTATTAATTTTTTAACATTGTGTAAGTATGGTTTTATGTTACCACGAAGTATATTGAATGTTCTATTTCAAAGAAAAGTAATAGCTCTGTGTATGATATAATAAAATATTTTTTACTATTATAGGTACCCACAGCAAATCAATTACCAACTAAAATTTGTCACAAATGTGCATATGAGCTAAAACATTGTAGTATCTTTATACAAAAATATAAAAGAACTATAAAGCATAGAACAAAATTTCGGGCAAAACAGACTTGCAGTTTATGCTTTCAACAACCAAGGAAGGAGTACATTTTTGATCTGAAAAATGAAAACTCTTCACAGTGTAATTCTCTTAACAAAATACAAAAAGTGTTTAACGAAGAAGTAAGAAATTTGTGTACAGTACTGTTTGATTACGTTCATCTATATAACAGTATCATGTTAAAACTAATTGTTACTAAATGTCAACAGGTTAAAAAAGATGAAGAGTACCAGTTTATATGTTTGTCTTGTCGATACACGGTGGATGTATTGTGCGATTTGAAAAATTTATCACAAGAAATTGCATCCAAATTGGATGATATAATCAACAGGGAAATAGATTATTTAAATTTTCCCAAAGTAATTGTTTTAATATAGTAATCGGTTATATGAAATTTGTATCATATCAAAGTTAGTATGTTACAACACTGCTTTAATTTTTATAGGTAAGAACAACTGTTATAAGTCGCAAAACTACAATCACAGAATCTGCTAGAGTAGCATTGAAAACAACAGAGGATATTGATAACGATACTAAGAAAATGACACGTAAACGATCTAAAAACAAAGTAATTAATAATAAGTTGACTAATAAGGTTAGTATAAAATCAACAGAGGAACTTTGCGAAGAATGTCACAAGTCTAATAAAACTCACATAATTGAGAAAACAGGTCAAACTGTGTGTAAAAGTTGCTGGGAAATTAAGAGTTCTGTTGCAAAGGAAGTTGAAACTCCCCAAACTTTAGTAGAAACTAAAGTATGCAAAGTTTTTCTGAAGGATGTTTTAAGCCAGGTAGCATCGAAGACGCAGAAGCTTTATGAAATTGAAGAAGATGAGCAGGGTAGGAAAAAATATAGAGTAACAGAGAAAGAAGTCGACGGGCAGGGTAGGAAACAATACATAGTAACAGAGAAAGAAGACGTTGAACAAAGTAGGAGAAAACACAAAGTAACAGAGAAAGAAAACGACGAGCAGGGTACGAAAAAACAAAAAGTAACAGAGAAAGAAGACGACAAGCAGAGTAGGGAAAAACTGAAAGTAACAGAGAAAGAAGACGACGAGCAGGATAAGAAAAAACACGAAGTAACAGAGAAAGAAGATGACGAGCAGAGTAGGAAAAAACAAAAAGTGACAGAGAAAGAAGATGACGAGCAGAGTAGGAAAAAACAAAAAGTTACAGAGAAAGAAGACGATGAGCAGGGTAAGAAAAAACACAAAGTAACAGAAAAAGAAGAGGACAAGTCGCTCAAAGAAAGTACTGATGTAGAAAGCGAAAGTGGAAAACATCCTATTGCAAAAGTAAATACTGAAAGCACGGAGAACACAGACAAACCAAATAAGAAACAGGAATCAAATATGAAAGAGGAAATCGAAGAATCTAAGTCAGTGTCACTAACAGAATCCACTACGCAGAGATTAACACGCAGTAGAAAACCTAATACACTGAACACTAGTCATAGCTCTGACTCGGATTCTACTATACTCAGTAACGTAAAGGAAAGCGTGACACCTCTAACCAGACATAAAAGGGCAACCAATTCGTCCTTATCCGATACAGATGTTGACAACAAACGTGAACGTAAAAGATTAAAAAGCATTTTGGCGGGTAATACCGCATTGAAGGGTTTTAATATCAGTTGTGAATCTTCGTCAACCGATGATGCTGCACCGAAAAAGAAGAGATTAAGATTTACAAGTGAATCACCTGTAATGATTGATGTAACAAACACGAAAAATGTGGATGAAAGGCTCAGGAGGAATTCGTCGGCGGAAAACCCTTCTACAGAAAAAAAGATTGTAAAATCGGCTTTGGTGAAAAAACCACAACGAATAGTACAGTCTTCTTCTGAATCTGAGGACAACAAATTTGCCGATGACAAAAGTGAGACATACTCCTGTAAGGAATGTGGAGTTAATTACAATAACAAACTTATATTTTTGACACACGAATTGACACACTGTAAACAACCGAGATTAAAGTTACAGAAAGTGATTGTTAAAAGTACAGCGAAAGAGGTATCAGACGTAAGCGAAGCGGTAATTAATCAACGCGAGGAACAGTCAGAGTCTGTTGAGATTACAGTAAACGATGGCGAGGACGAAAAAGCGACTGAAAATAGTAATTTAGATGTCAGTAGTCATAAAGATTTAAGTTCTTGCGAAACAGTACAAGATACGATTAAGGTGGAAGATTCAACAAAAGGATCCAGTACCGATCAAAATGAAACGACTGAGAAACCTAATAAAAGGAGGAAAATCGTAAGAAGGCAAGGCAGTAAGTGAACATGACCAGGATGAAGAAAAAGAAGAAAAGAGAAAGGGCAAGAAGGATGACGAAGAGGAAAGGGAAAAACGCAAGAATGATGCCGATGAAGAAGATAAGAAACAAGACAAGGAGCATGGGAAAGAAGAAGAGAGTGAAAGTAAGATAACAGAAGTAGTTAAAGAAACGAAAGAAGTAGAAAAGGAGAACGAAACGAATGACCAAGTTTCAGTACATCTGAAAAAAAAAATTGTGACCGCCAGCGAAGAAACTTCGAGTGAACCGAAGCCCAGTAGAGATATCAGTAATGAAGTTGTTGACGAAGATAAATCAGATTCTTGTAAAAAAGCTAGTGAAAATGAGCCTGAATCGACAGACAAGTTAGATTCCTCTGAAAAACCTGAAGAAAACGAGGTACAAGATACAGACAAGCTTGATTCCTCTGAAACGCACGAAGAAAACAAGATTGAAGGGAAAGACGCCGAGAGTGAGAAAGTGGTACAAATCGATGAAGATAGTTCTGGCAGTGTTGAAGAAGTAACCGAGAAAATAGAATCTGATGATGATGTACAGTGCACGGAAATAGATAGTGGTAAGTATAAGAAAGTAGAATCTGATGATAAGATACAGCGCACACAAATAGACGATGTTAAGACGGAGAAATTAGAATCCGACGATGATGAGGTACAGTGCAAGCAATCAGCTGGTGATATGACTGAGAACATAGAATTCGATGATGACGTTGATGAGGTACAGTGCACGGAAATAGATAGCGGTAAGTCTGAGAAATCATCGTTGCATAATGTAGTAGAAATTGCTAAAAAATGTAGTACGAACGGTGACAGTAACGAAATAATCGACGACGATGTGGAAATGAACGCGCCGCCGGAACAAGTGGAACCAATTACGGATTCTGCGGACGTGGCCGCTGAGGTCTTGCAAGAGGTTCTCGATTTGGCGAATGCGGAAGTTCAGAAACGTCAAGATGTCGATGCCAGTAGCAACGGAAACAATCTCGAGGAGGCGGAAACGTTAGAAAACATATCGCGCGAAATAGAAAGTAGCGGTGACACGCATCTCGACGAATTGGAAGCTTCTCCTGCGGTCAGTTCATAAGTTGGGCACAGTCTGTTCTCTTTTTTCTTTCTTTTATTATTTAGTGAACATTCGATCTTACGTGGCTTAAACTACTTTTTCATTCGAATCTTCGCGAAAGAAGAATTATTACAGAATTAATGAACTTTTGTTTCTAGGCCCAATAGTGTATATAAATGTTAATTTATCGTACGAAATACAAGGGTGTTTCATAGAATGTGAGCCTGGCTTCGAGCGTGTAGTTAGCATGCAAATATAACGATGGGAAGTCCTTCTTAAAGAAAATGAACGTTCAGATGAATTTTGTTCATTATTAGCTTTGTGTATAAAATTTACTAGTGAATATTCTCACATTTTATGAAAGAAACTCATACATATGAATGTGGTGTCTCGTTGTGTACCTTGTTTAGACAAACGGGCAGTCGAATGATGAAAACAAAAATATGCACACGCTGAAAATATGGTACACGCGGGATTGTGTAATGGTTGTGTAATGTATCATTAATTCGTGCAAAAGTAATTTTATACGATTTTTATGAATGACGCTACATTTTACATCATATCCCCGCCATTTGTTTTCGTGCCTAGTTCGGTGTCGGTTTCCGTGGACAATTAAGTTGAACGATTTTATTTTAGAAAAACAAAAGGTATCGAAACTTATCTTTGCGTATCAATTATATTAGGGACTAACATATTTGATTATTTAAGTTTGTTGAAATGTCCGTCTACGGTTAGCAGTCACGAGTTTTGGTGCATGCTTCTGGTTTTTACAACAATAGGAATTGTTCAACAAGAAAAACCGGGTGGAGCACTGATAGCTTTGTAACAGAAACTAATACCAGTATGTATAATTTTGCCTAATCATACTTCACTGAACTGAACTATTCAGAAGGAAATTGTGCACCGTTTTGAGAGTATGTTGTGTATACTTGTATCTCTAATACGAAATATTTAAGAGTTGTACAAGTGTTTGCGTGCAATGTAATGTTGAAGAGTAATTCGAGCACAGTTGTAAATAATTTATCATTACGATCAATTTTTCAGTTTCTCCTGCATTCGTCGTTTTTAAATACTCTTCTAAAACTTAAATATTTGTTGGAATTACAGATATAAAGCACATTGAACAAAGTACAGTAGGGCCCTGAGTTATAGCTGCTTCAAAGATACATATAGCGTGAGCCATAAACCTGAACGACCCTCAAGTTTGTGTTTCGGTAGCCGAATCCTGTCATTTGTTACCCTTCAGTTATAAAAACTGTGCTCGACCGTTCGTCAGGGGCGTACGACGTCAATTTGGAATCGGTTTTTCCATTTTAATGTAATTAAACAAGTTCTTATAACGTATTACTTTCAAAGTTGAAATACTTCTGGTCCTTTATCCTTTGATTCCCCGATGATCGAGTACTAATGGTTTAAGGGTCGGCCACGTTTATGGCTAACGTTATATCTTAGAAGCAGCTATACGTCCTCCCGACTTACGTCGTTTCTAGGCAACGCGATAGTCAAGGTGTTTATTTCATACTGAATCAGTCTGAGGGTTTTATACATTCAGAATTATTTTTAGATTTAATTATCATTTTTATACATTAAAAAGAAAATGTATTTATTAATCTGATAAATACATGTATGTATATGTATGTTTGCATACATACATACGTGTCTATCCCGTGCACCCCGACTTACGTCTTTTTCGACTTACGTCGCCCACTCTGGAACCAACTAGTTCGTAAGTCCCGGGACCCTACTGTATCTTTAATCGAACGTTAATCGTCCCGACTGCGTCTTAGTAGTCGACAACCCAATAAGTTAGAAAAGATGTCGACAGTATAAGAATTTTCAATTAACCCTTGCAACATCACTGACCTTGACCACTACTACGACAATGTATATAAATTATACTTATTAAATGGAAAGTATAAAGAAACGAAAACTATGGAAAACAAATTGGTATGACTTAATGGAACCAACCCTACAAGTTTAAGCTAATTCCTTAAAGATCTTTTCTAACTTCTTTCTCTGTATACCAGAATCTTTTCGTTCGTGATATTGAGTAATCAGTGCTTTTGATACCGGTTTTAATTTTCATACTTCACATTTATAAATTCTACATACAATACCGAGGATCAAAGCTGAATGAACTATATCGTTTCTCCTTATAAGTTTTAGCCAATCAGGATCACCTCTGTGATTTGGAGTAACTAATGATCTCAAGATAGAATACATACAATTTACATATTTCTATACACGACACTCTCTTACAGAAATTTCTCAGTTCCAATATATTTCATGCGTTTTTAACCTCTTTGCATCTGTAAACATCAACTGGACGCGTGTAATTGACTACTGAAAAATTTAAAACACTTACAGAACAACTTACATTAACAAATTTACAGAACATCCATGATATAATTAGTTCAATACGTTTTTAACTGTATGATGCAAATGGGTTAAATACAATATTAAAGTATAGCTAAATAACTTCGTTACGGTTTTTTATTATGCTCGACCAGTCTGACATTCAAGAGGCTCGTAGATATACACACCTCTTGCTGGCTGAAATTTTGGACTCTATTATACGAGACTAATGGAGGATCCTTCGTTAAATATAAACAAATGAATCTATTAATAAAATAATTCAAGTAAACGTGGTTGAAAGTATTATCATGAGAAAGTTTGCAACAAGATATGATCTTAATTTCGCAATGTGACTCCAATTTTTTGGAGCACTTGCGTGTTTTAACAAACGAAGCTAGAGTACATTATATTCACAAATCCTTTTATTGGCATACGTTTGCTCAGCTTTGACTTTGTGACTGACAGATTTCTCGTGGACCTACCCGACAAAGACGCGAGAACCTTCCTAAACTTTACACGTAAGCGTGTAAAAATGTAATTGATATAAACGTAGCATGGAATGTTAGTGGCAGCGACCAGGCGTTGATTCTCTTATGTTTGCGGTCTTGTTCGGTTGTCGATCGCGGTGCGCGACGATGAAATCGTCCCTTCGGAGGATTCGTACCGCACCTCAAACTCCGAAGTTTTTTCTGAAAGTGGAAGATGACGTGTCAGCTCGACCGTAACGGAATTTAATTACTTTGTACGATTAACCACAAAGCGGAAGAAGCTCGTTTCTGTTCGATTTAAACGAGTCTATTTGTTCGTTAACCCTTTGCCTTATAACATCGAGTCAGACTCGTGTTGACGCTTTGAAAATCGATTCAACAAAAGAATATTATTCAGTTTTTTTTTTATTCGATGCGGAGAACCACGTTGTTGATATTAATATTTAACTTTTACAGTAAAAGTATAGTTGCGATATGTACAGAATTCCTTTCGTTTCTGTGAAACTCGATAACAATATAATCCAGGAGACTGTAGACGTGAAGAAAATCATAGGGCAAGGGGTTAATTGACCGATTTTCGAGGAGATGCCCACACTACTTTCGAACAGTCAAAACGAAGAAATGGTGGCCAAGTGTGTAGCGACAAGTCCAGTGCGTTGGTGTGCATGCGTACGGTAACGATAAACAACGTTCATGTAGATACAAGAAAATATTTGAAACGAACATATAATATAGCGAGGTGTGTACAAAGAAGGAACGATTCGCGCTCTGTACATTAGTATAATATTTATATATATATACAGAATTTCTGTGCGCGATTACTAAGAGACATAAATAAAACATTTTCTTGGTTACCGTGCACCTCCTCGAGCCAAAACGGCTCCCTCGAGCTTTTCCACCGACAGATCTTCAGCGTCGCGTTTTCATCATGGACGCCACATCGCAGAAGCAAACTCAAGTACTCCTCGATTCTCTCCTGACCTGCGGACACGCATTGTTCCTTGCATTGCCGTCTACGGTCTCTTTCGGTCGTGATTTTACAATTCTTTTTTTTACAACGATTGTATCCTAATATCTATTTGTACGTCTTAAGTCTAAATAGTTATGTACCCAATTATACGATATAAAGAACACCAAGAGTATTTGCACGAAGTTGCTTTTCTGAAACGACGGTATAGATTGTTAGGCTTATGGTATTAATATTTCCATGATTTTTAAGTTTGTCGTATTTCCAAGACAGAGTTGAAAATGAAATTGTAAATTGTAAAATTTATTGAGTGTATCAGCTGTAAAATGACATTTTCGGGAATAGTATGAATTATTAAGTGAAGCAGGTTGTTCGAATGATTACAGAGTAACTATTTTACATATTGTAAGATATTATTATTGATTACTATTATTATTGCAATTATTACTCGATAATTTCGTAAAGAATGCACCGCCTGTTATCTAATATGATCTGTACGAGAGGAACTGTACGTGCAAACACTTTTTGTTTTCATCGTCGCGTGATTTCACGTAACACGAATATTTATACTATTGTTTGTCTGTAAAATAAAATAAAGATTAGCCGTATTTCTAAACGCTTCGGTTTCACGTCACGAGGCAGGGCGAATATTATTTGCCTCGACCAACAAAATTTGTTGTTCCGCTAAGCGGATGCACATCGTCCACTTCGTCAGAGTGCACTTTCTTCCGTTTATTTTGTTTTTGTAAATTTCAATTACCCTTCGAAATTCCCGCGATGCATCTGGCCCGATCGGCTTCGTGGGACAAGCCAAGTTTGTTGTACAGACTCAAAGCGTTCTCCAAGTGAACAGTAGACACTCCCAGATTGCCCTATACGAGTCAAAATTTTGCGATTATATTTCGTTTGTAAAGACTTATCATTTATTTTCATAGTATGTCACGATTACTTATTATTTACACTTAGTTTTACACATTTATTATTATCATTTACGTTGTTCAGTTCCTGTTTTTGTTTTTACATTAATGTAATAATTTTTGTTGTATAAATAAGTTAGTGTAGCAACTTCTGTTGTCAATTGATTTGCGTATACCTGACTCAAGTAGTGCTCGCCGGTGTAGTAATGCGCGTCCGCGAGTTTCTCGAAAAGTCTCAATTTCTCGGCGTTCTCCCGAAACATCCGTAAGTGTTTCTCCGTGTGAGCGGTGTCGTCCAATTGCTGTACCCATAACAAACATATTATTTATTTTGTAATGAAGGTTTCCTTACATGGTGACCTTTATGGTCTCGAAGATTGGCCAGACGTTAAGTTGTGTATATCTTGACCAAGCACAGCTGATGACAATCTGTTGCGCCTGCTCAGGCAAGATACAGGAGAATAGAAACCCTCCTATTTTCTCCATACACGTTTTTTTTATCTATTTACGAAACACTGAGTTTTATAGTTACAGGTTACAGTAACAACCGAAAAGTTCCCCATCGCCATCTTCACTTCGTCCTGTTTCACAAAGGACTTCTTCAACCATCAACTGTGCACGACTGAACTACAGTCCCCTACAATTTGTAGCAATGACAAGACGCTGAGTTGTCATGATCCCCATAACAACGAGGATATAGAAGGTCCACTACAACAGTATACTGTTCTTATTTTTCAGAATACAATATTGCCCTCATAATTTCGCGCATTGTCGCCCCCATGTCATCGAAATGCCACCCCTAACATCACCTAGCGTTAGCTATCAGTAGGCAGGTTAAAATAGAAACTAGTTGTCATATATATATTTCCACAACTTCTGGACGGGGGGGCCAGGCCCACCCTGGCCCCTACCTAGTTACGCCAATGATTCTAGCACGTGTAGTTAAGTTTCGATGCTACTTATTGTATATTAAATTCTTACTAGTATTGACCTTATACGCGAAAGCTAATTCCATATGCGCGTTGCAGACACCCTCAGCATCCGGAACCCTCCTCGCTACAGCCAGCAGTTTCGAGAAAGTCTGCAGAGCGCGTCTGACATCATTGACCGCTATGTAACTTTTCCCGAGCTCGTAGAGAGTTTCGTTAAGATATTCCGCTTCGCCAGCTGAGGTTATTCCCGTTTTTTAATTAGTCCAAGCCTGTTCGTTTACCCCTTCCTTCTTGTCGATTCGACGAATCGCTGGAAATGCACAAGATTTACCGGTCGTAGCTCTTTCCAGGGCTTCCAGACAAGCTTTCAGCGCTGCATCGGGATTGTTGGGTCGATCCTTCCGGGCGAGTATCAACAGAGCCTTGTACAACAGGACGTTGCATTCCTTGAAAATGGAACCTTGTTTCTCGGCCAGTTTCTTCGAAGCGTTCCACGTTTTCTTCTCGGATGCCTCGCGCGCCTCGTTCAGGTAGTCCAAAGCTTCCCTTGGGTTCTGCACTGATTTCGATCACTTTCTCTTAATGTTTGTTATAGATGGATAAACGCGACTAGGCTGAGAATGTTCATATAGCTTAAGGGGTCATTCTAGTTTGACTCAGTGTAAGAAATTCCTTAGTCATCGTGTTAAGGCAGACGTCAGCAACCTATGACCTGCGGGGTCAATGTTAATCTATTATTTATATTTTCTCAAAGTGTTTGTTTCATGTTTATTGTTTATAATTTATTTTTATATATTATACTTTATTTACGGAACTCAAGCTGGTCATTTGAAATTATATAATGGGTCATTGGTGACCCGTGGGTCATAGGTTCCCGGCGGCTATGTTAAGGCGTTTAAAGACGAGCTTGTTGAGTGTTTCAAACGACTGTATTACTAACATTCGTGAAAGAGGAATCGACCGTATAGGTACCGAATCAAGGTGATCGTCTGACGATTATCGTCCTCGATGAATTCTGCTGCTGAAAGGGCGGCTTGATAAAGGCGCTCGGCTATCCACCACCATTCCCAAGCTTTCACCTGGAAGAACAACGCGGTGTCCAAGAGTGCTGTTGCTCGGGCAACATAATCGCCTGGAAATCGATTTATTTGATATTTTTTGTGTCCACACTTCAGTGAAAAATAATGTACCCTTCCTTTTCGCTTTTTCGAACGCGATTAGTCCTTCCCTCAGGCGATCTATGAAGTCCTTGTTATCTTTCAACGATGGTTTCTTCCATAACAGAACACCGACCGATTTCTGGGCGATTCTTTCGTCGACTTCTAAAAGCTCGCTCATCTGACGGGCCGCTTCGTGGTAACTTTGTTCTTCGAGTTCGAGGAGAATCGCTTCGTGATATGGCATATAAAACCTGTTTGGAACGTTTCGATTGAATCTGTCGATGGCACTTTTATGACAATTTCTTTAATTTTGATAAAGTATTCTATGGATTATGTTGTGTTTCGAAACCTTGAAGTTTACGAGTTTTTGATTAACAATAAAAAATGTAGGATCGCTGAAGAATCGTAAAGAGAAGCGATACCGGAACGAATTTTTCAAATTTCAGTATTCTTAATAAAATCTATTGAAAGTATGTTGAGATTTATTTTAAAGTCTTGAATGTGTAATGATACGGACCTTCTAACTTGTACGGGGCTTATATCTGGCAACGCGGCTTTCAAGTCAGCCATAACCTTATCCATCTCGTGCAATTCGGCTTGAGGCAAAGTTTTCAGTTTCGTTGGATACACGATCCGTTCGCTTATCCTGCTGCTCGAGCTACTCGACCATTCCTTATAATCGTCCCGTTTTAAAACTTCCACCACATCGTATTTTTTAACCCGATTACGTTGTTCGGTCATTTTGCCGAACGTATTTCTTGTATGACAATTAAAACAAATGTCGTGCTTCCTTCCCTTCTTTTCCTATTATTACTAAAAACATAAAACGACAACACTTTCATTTAAATAGAAGTCACTGAAATCTTGAATAGTAATTCCTTTGATCTTTTGCAAGTGCGATTTGGATTTTAAGTTAACGCGTTCCTGTATACAGGATGTTGGATTACTGATGTCAGAAACTTTAATGAGTGATTCTACATGTCAAACTGAAACGAAAATCGAGAACGACAAAATAGTGAGGACTGCTAGCAAGGTCAAGCGAAGACGAGGGATACAATGACCTGGAGATATTGGGATCGTAACAAAGAAAAGGTACGTATTACATTTGGTTAAGAAGGACGTATTGTTTTTCAAGCGAGGCCAATGACTATCGTGTCATATGTTTTTCGCTTGTATGCAGAACACCCGGCTTCCGGTGTTTCTGGCCCAGAAATGGGCAAACTCATTATCTAGATAAAAAGTTTCGAATAACGAATAAACGAGTTGGTAACTTAAAAACGAGATCTTCGATACAATCTCCTTATTCTTGATGTATCTTTGATTTACATATGTAGCAATCAACCTTTAAAATTTCTGACACCACTAGCCGAACACCCAGTCTAAAGGAAAGCGTTAATTTAATCATTAAATTAACGCAATCAGATTAATACGCTTATATGTATGTCCTTCGATACAACACGTAAGTCATAGTTGGATTTAAATTGTTCAACGTCAAAGGCGTGTGACTGGGTCAGAGAATCGGGTCACGTGATCAAAACGATTGCTACAATTCAGATTTCGCAGCTGAAAGCTTGCATAATTTATTGCACGAGATAAATATCAACTTAAGAAAAATATACCTACAAGCGTTATACAACCGTCGGTAAGATACTTACAAACATTTCCATACAATCGTATGACGCGAGGGAATTCTATCCGCGCGTGCGCCCGAGCCGCGTATGCGCGCTAATGGCAAACGGCTCGCACGTACGCGCGTGCTCGCGCGTTCTGTGAACCCACCTATCCGTGTTTCATTCATGCGATAATAATTTGTTTATACAAAATTTCTCTACAATTGTTAAGCGGTCGCGGCGACCTGCTTCCTCGGCTCAAGCCTGATCTTGAAGCCTTCGGCCCTCTTCAGGATAATATCGGCCTGCAGCCTGAAATCGGGCTCCTTGATGTCCGACTTGACGCGGAAGTTTCGCAGGATCGTCGACAGAACGATCTTCAGTTTGAGCATGGCGTATTTTCGGCCGACGCAGGATCGTGGACCGGCCGAGAACGGGACGAACGCGTAGTAGTGACGGTTCGCGGTGTTCTCGGGCAAGAAGTTGTCGGGATTGAATACATCTGGGTTCGGGTAGATGTGCGGTTGTCGGTGCATCTTGAACGTGGCGATCACGACCGTGCAGCCGGCTGGGATTGTGTAATCTCCGGTTGCTGAAATATTTCAGGAATCTTAGTAACAAAGTCTTTGTCGACGAAAACGAACATTCACGTATTCGAAACCGAGGAAGGATAACTAACCTAGTTTCAGGTCTGACTTGATTTCACGCGCGATGATTGGTACAGGCGGGTACATGCGCAGCGTTTCCAAGAGGCAACGCTCGAGGTATTTCATCTGTAGGGTGTCCTGGAAGGTGGCGGGTCGGTCGCTGTCACCGAAGATTTCATCCAGTTCCTGGATCACTTTCTCTTGGATGTCTGGGTGGCAACCCATCATCGAGAGGAAGAAACTGGACCCGGAAGCGGTCGTGTCGTGTCCCTTTTGGTGGATATAATTTCATTTATATTAATGCTCTTTCTATTAGAGAATTGAGGCTCTTAACCCCTTGCCCTATAACATCGACTTAGACTCGTTTCGACGATTTCAAAATCATTTCAACATAGAATAATATTATTCGGTTTTCTTTGAGTTGAAGTGAAATGCCACGTTGCTGACATTAATTCATAACTGTTACAGTGAAAATACAGTTGCGATAAATACAGATTTCCTTTCGTTTCTGGGAAACTATCGCCAATAATGTAATCCTGGAGTCTGCAGAGATCAAGAAAATTGTAGGGCAAGGGGTTAAGAGGGTTTCTAATTTTTACGGAGATCTTACCTCAAACATGATGGTGTCCACTTGTTCCTTGACTTCTCGGTCGTTAAGTACCACACCGTCTTGCCCGGCTTCGATCAGGAGGTCGAGGAAGGCCAGCCTCTTCTTCTCACCGACATCGTCGTCGACGTCGAGATCGTCCTTCAAACCGGCCGACTGACCGAACGAGACACCCTCTATGACGGTGGTGGACTAGGATTTTTCATAAAACGTAAACATCACGATTAGAGTGCAGATATTTATGCGAATGCGTGAACAATAATACCTTGGCATCAGCCTTCTGCGCGCTGGTGTCAATGATGTTTCGCTTTCCGCTCTTGTATTCCTCCTTCTTGCGTTGGATAACCTTCTTGGTCAATCCGTGGATGACTTCGAGCAGCTTGATCTGGTCCTTGCCGTATTTCGACAGGTTGAACAGCCAGTCAGGCCTGAGCCAGACTTTCGTGTGACGGAGGTGGAGAATGTCGCACATCCTTGCGAAATTAATTGGATTAACTTAACAGTAACTCCACTTGTTAATCGTGGAGAACTATCGCGACCATCGAAAATAATTATCGATAGGTATAAAACAGAGTACATTTATCTCTGCTGAGGCTTTTGGTTCGAAGCCATACCATTAAAACGCCTAGACCAATTAAGATCCCTGGTTGCTAAATAGAATATCTAATTAAGCTATATAATTGCAATATTGGTACATCATTCGAATAATATTTGCAAAACAGCCTATACTCGAAGACCCCAAATTCAAGAACCTGTAAATTGTGATCGCCTCCGGTATTCAAACAATTGAGGTACTTTTTTTGTCATGTCTATCCACTGAAATGCATTTGCGTTCTAATTCTTACGCAATGTTAACTACACCGACTGGCATAAACGCAGTATGAATTATTGGCAAACTTTCTCCAGGGAAAGAAACCGTTCGCGCAAGTTGGGAAGAAACAGGAGTACGTACTTCATCACGGCCATGGCGTATTCGAAGCCGCTGCGACCTTGGGTGGCCTTTGAGACACCCATCGCGGTTTCCAGGAGGATCTCAACGGTCAGTTCGGACATGTAATTGTGGCAGTCGAATTCTTTGTTGCCCTCCTCTCGCATCTTCTCGACGACAGCACGGGAGTTGGCGTTGAACAGATCGATGAAGCTCTTCAGTACGTTCAAGTGGAAGGTCGGGGCGATCAGCTTGCGGTGAGCGCGCCATTTCTGACCTGTAATCGGATTGTGCATTAATTTGAGAGGAGCAGAGACCCCATTACAAATGTGGAAGTACATTTACGCACTTGGAATCAGAAATAAAAAGCTTCTGTATAATTTTCATTTCTATAGGTTAGGAAAATTCGGAGGGATAAAATTTATATCTGGATACTGGAGAGGAAACGGAGGTGAAGGAGAAAGTAAAGAAAAATGGTCACATTAAGTGGACAGATCACACGTTCTTCGAACGTTCAAAGATACTCGAGGAGAAAACACTTCCTGCGAGAATGAAGTGGAAGGATCGTCTGTTAAGTAACTGCTGTTTAGCTAGCGGCTGACATTAGGTTACGGTACAAAGAAACCAGGAGAAAGAGTAAGAGTCTGAAAGCACTATCGGCGAGTTTCTTTCCTGCTCCGACTCTCGCGGATAGAGTGCATTTCGCGAGAGCAGCATTGCCGTAGGAATAGTATGATTCAACAGTCTCACACGTCGATTATCCATTGTTTATAAATAGAAACGGAATGCATTTGTCTTAATCATATAAAAAAAAGTGTAATTTCTTCAGAACAAAGAAATGAATTTTCCGAAAAACGCATGTCTTTCCGTCGATTTCGACCATCTGATGGAAGATTTAATTTGATTTTATAGAATTGGATGCAATTGAAATTCTGCTCTACAAAATCAATGCGTCGTGAACAGGGTTGTAAGCGATTCCGTTTGCAATTAACTGGCCATTTGGTTGGAGCAGTAATGGGGTGCGATGAAAGTTTGGCGCCAATGGATGCACACGTGCCGCTGCAAGAGTAGTTAGACGTCTGGTCGTTACGTGCACGCGTGCCAACGCTCCCTGTTACGTGCACGATCGAGCGGGAGAGTTTCCACGGCGGGAAAAAAAGGATATCTCGACTCACAGCGAGAAAGTTACGATAACACGGTGTACGATCGTTAGACTGAATCCCACTTGTGCAGCTGGGTCTATGGTGGTACCTTAAGCGACGTTTTCACGAGTTCTAATAAACGATGATGAATTCAATTCAATGGATTAGACGTTGAAATAATAATCTTCGTCTATATACTTTTATAAAGATTTAAATATTTCTTACGTTCCGTAGATTGCAGCTGTGTTGCATAAAATGTTACCTGCTTTTCTTTTCCCCAAAGCAGTTTCGTCCGTTATGGCAAATGCGTGGTAAACACCAGTAGAAAGTTAAGTAACAACAAGCGTTGTTTAATTACAGCATTTGGATCGTAATTCATATGATAATACAGTGGAACGTATACTGGATGTAAAAGGAGATTCTAGGTAAAGGCTGTGAAGGTTCGAGGAAAATTTTAAGGAAGCAAAAAACCGCCTTACCGGTGGAGATGAGCAGACCGTTTCCAAGCCAGGGTTTGAAGAACCTGTACTCGGCGGATTTGTCGATGTACACGTGACTGGAGAGGATCACTTCGACGTCGCGTGGGTCGACCAAGAATACGACTAGCTTAGGGCCGATCCATAGCTTGATCACTTCGTTGTACTCGAATGATTTCTGGTAGATGTTCTGGAAGATGGCTGTAACAAGAAGACAGGAAGCACCGGTTAACTCCTTTCGCCTGTTAGATTTACGTAAGACAAGGTAAAGGATAAAAGTCAAGTAATCGCGAAAGTAAAGATCAACGACGAGTCTACGAAATGAATCGAGGATTATGAATTAATTTCTGTTTTGGACTTACCGTCGGAACTGCCAAGGAATTCGAGAGCGTTTCCAACAACAGGTAAACCTGGCGGGCCGGGCAGTTTCTCGGCCAATTCGAGCATGTGACGCCTAGAGATACGGAAGTAGATGTAGTAGAGTACGAGAGCAGGTAGTAGAAGGGATAAGAAGACGGTAGTGGCCGAAAATCCGGTGGCCGCGGCGGCCGCTACGGATCCGGCGACTACTTCCGGTCCAGCCGTAGACATGTTTTCTTCAGTCTGAAAGCAAAAGTAAACAGAATCGTGATCACCAATCGTCTCATAATAATTACAACCAATGTGAAGAATTAATTACACATCATGGTAGGTATAGAAAGGACAAAATGAAATATAATGCATAGAATGCTAGTTAAATAGTTAAACGAGAAATAAATCGTAAGATGCCGTTTAAGATGGTAAATGTAAGGTAAAGTTAAAGTATGTAGAACGAAAAAAAGTTTTTCACGTATAATACTCTTAGGGATATGTGTGAATAGGGGGATGATCATGGGTATCGAAGAAAAAAGAGTTGCAAGAAGTGGGTATAGAAAACTGTTTCGATTCTAGGGCTGTGATAAAAATACTGTAAACCCGTGCAAGTCCGAGTGAAATCGATGAATCGTGAGGGAATGTTGTCACATGGAATTCGGTCACTTTAGGTTCACAGCACTTTGGTGTCCAGAAGAGGAAAAAACGTCGCGTAGCACAGCCGTTTATCACCGGCAAGGGTAAGAAATTGTTACTCTGCCACCCACCTATTTATTACACCAATCACACGATGACTTCTGGCCGATGAACTACCACCGGACTGGTCGAACGACTTGCCGCGATCTCTTTTATAACCCGGCCTTTCTACGCCACCCCTACTCGGACAGAGGTTCGCGACACTAATTAATAGCCGCGCCACGCATCTATTGGAATCGATAATTATTTCCACTTACGCGTCGCGATCTGCTTCTCTTCACTCGTCGACCATATTTCGCGAATTTTTTTTGCGAATCCGTTCGAAAGACACCTGTACGTGAAGAATTTACGGATACTTTATCTTGTGGTTCTGTTAGGTGTATCGATAAGCAATCTACTATACTTTGTTAAATTTAATATTTACTTTTCGACTCATTTAAAACCTTTTCTGGTCCAATTGTTTTATAGTTCTGTTACATCTTTGTGCATGATCGAAAAGGGAAGGACGGAAAAATATTTTGAATTTAAACTACATTATCAATTTATTCAGAGGAATACTAGTTCATTTATTGGTATATCCAAAAACATCAGAAATCACTAATTGTTAGAACTATCTTTGAAGTTCTTCAGCTATGCGTTTGCCATTTCGAAAACTTGCAACCGGATATGGTTAACAGATCAATATTACACCGCAAACGGAATATAGTCGAGAGCTACAAAAATGATCGCATTGTTCATTGATGCATAGGAAGAAAGTGGTACATAGATCCGAGAAAGTCCTGTGTTGGGTGTAATTATTTAAGGTTCGTTCACACCAAACACCAAAGCGTTCAAACGGTTAGAATTATAAAAATAATAAATATTTTCAATGTTTAATTCGTCTGACTCGCACTTCTGTATTCACTACTAATGGCGCAATCAAAATTTAGGTCTAAAGCATAAGTGAATGTTTCGAATAAGTCGCTAAGTAAATTTAATATTAATATACGTGATCAATAATTAATCATTTTAAAGAAATCGAAACATTCATTGTAATCAGACGTAAAATTGGATAATCTAAATCGCGTCGAGTCATCGAAAACGTAAGTGTACTTCCGCCTTGACCCACTCGCCTATCACTTGTCAGGCCATTTTATCATTTACAAACAATGCTTTTCGCATTTACGTTTCTGCAAAGATCGTTGGTATTTGCCTCGTGATTTCCAAAGGGTATTCCGAATCGTCGCTACGTTTCGTGGAAACACTATCGTGTACGGTATAATGAAATACGCTTATGAAATTTTACGATGGCAGCGTAAAACCTACGTGTGGCGAATGAAGCTTTCAGAAGCGAATTAAAACAAGTCTATTGGAGTCCATTCCACTTCCTAGGAAGTTGGTGTTTGTTAAGTAATTATTTCTATTTATGTAATACACAAATTGTGTAGTATTTCTACGAACAGTAACGTTTACAATATTTTATATATTATTTTTCAGCTAATGTTTACGGATAAATATGGGTGGTCAATGCGGTTGTTTCGATATAATTCAAGACGGTTCTTGACCGAAACCTTGGAAACATTATTTAAGATGTTACATAATCTTGTGACCCGTGACACAATTTTTTCACATCGAATTCCGGAAGTGATGCAGACCACGTGAGACATCCTTATACAAGGCGATCTATATTTTCGTGTACGATGTCTCGTGGGAATTCACGTACGCCACGCTAACAATCGGCGGATATCCAGGTCGATGCTCGATGACCCGACTTTCTGACTTAATGACACACAGATAACCACGTAATGCTGAAACGCAATTACAAGCACAATTTACAGGTGTCCAAGTGCTCTGTATTGTTACAAATTAGTATCGATTAACAAATATCTTTTGGGACAATACACGTGGACGTGATCTTAATATTATTTATTAACTTGAGGATTAGAAATATAGTCTTAAATAGAAGTAATGATTCTCGTCTAACTGGGTTTCGATGCCATTTTTACGACTTCAATATCCGGATCTATTTCATTAGGGGATGGTAATTCTTAAGTAATCGGAAGATATTTTCTACATGTTTATTGAAATTGTTTTTATTGCGAATGCGTACAAGAGGAGGAACTTCGTTTCGTCTACTTCTAAAATTGTGTCATTCTTACTTTATTGGAGAAAAAAACTTTCGTAATAACTTAAGTATAGTAATCACTGAACACATAATCATTTCACGTTCGATACTTAAGCCTATGTTTCTTTACTACTCGCGTAAGCTGTTCTTTTCCATGAAAACGTTCTAGGGCAATATGGTGGTACTTATTTCCAAAATTATTATCAAATATGTAACTTCACCTTCGACTGTGTTTTACAAACACATACAACAAACTCTGCTCAACATAACAAGGGGAAAGAGGTTCGTATTGGACATCGCGGCACAGCCGCACGTAATCTCCTTAGATCTACGGTGTACACGCGAATACACCAGATGGCAGCAGCTGATACAAACAGCAGTTACCGTTGCGATAACGGTTCGACGCGTGGTCAAAGTTGTCTGTTAAAATTAACTAAACATTCTCAAAAAGGATATTTATATTTAACGATTCGACCGACGAATCACGTCGCGTTTTACGTAGTTTATACCGACAATCAAATTACCAATATACAGCGTGGTGACGTATTCGGACGCGATACATCGGATCGATCGTCTCGACACAGTGTTTCCTAAAAACAGTTTTCCGCCGAAACGAAATATACGTCATCGATTCACATCTTTCTCACTAATCGTATCGCGTGACCGGTGTGACATGTTAATAAAACAATTCGTGAAAAATATCGACGACTGTTTGTGAGGTTATGTTTCTCTCGGAACGGAGATTTGTCAATTCCTGCTAAAGCGCACGTGGACGAAACACGGTTTCCGCGCATGTCATTCGAAAGAATGCGGCAGTAAACAACCATCTGAAACACGAACGTGACCGATAGTCGTCTTTTTTTTCGTCGAAGTGGACCACCGGAAATTCGTAAGTACGTTGGGTTAATTATCTTGTTGCTAGCTGCCGTGTTGTCCCCCGTTATCTCGTAAAAGTCTGTTACATAATAATTGCTGTAATCGTTAATCGAACCGCGAATTACGGTAACGGATAGAAGTACAGTCTCCGATAAATACTGTTCGTCTACTACGTTTCCGGTATCATACTTATGAAAGTGTAATCTTCGAGGTCGTCGGTGAACTCGGGCGTGAAGAAGGGTGCGTTCTTCAAGGTGATGATACAGTAACGTATAAATTCAGTGGGACCTTAAGCAGACGATAGGGCCCAGAATTCTCTGAAGTATTTATAAAAGTATCAGAATACGTCTGAAAGAGAAATGAATTTCGAAATGCTGCCAGTGACACTCATTTTCGGCTGCCGGCAAACATCTGTTTACGATACCGCTTGGTTTACTGTACGGAATGTACCCTCACGAGCAAACTCGACTTCCTCTAGGGGAAAATGTGGGGTTGGCGAAAGGACTCCTACCATTTAGTTTTGGGAGTTACTGAAATTTATGCCAAATTAACATTCGATTTAACATTTATTTCACTATCTGGAATAAATTTCCCAAGTGGTAGAAGACTTTTCTTCTACCCCGCTTTTTCCTCTAGTGGAAGCCGAGTTTACTCTTGTGTGTACACAGAAACATCGATCGACAAAGGTATTGTCTCAGACAGTACAGCTCTTTTCGATTTCTCTGTTGGTCTCCTTTGGTTGTTACCACCATTGCTCCGACTGTTATCTTCAAAAACATCCAGTAACACGAGGGACCTAGATAAAAACGTTACAAAAAACATTCCCGCTTCGCCACGAAATCGTTCAAGAGTTGCGCAACAGGTTCGCGCTACTGGCGCGCTTTTTTCGTCCCACAGTGGACGCCGATTTGATCTTCTTCGTTTGCTTCTTTTTCTTTTGTTTCTTCTTCTGGACCTTTTGTCTGCGAGAATTTGCGGAGTCGTTATCGGACGAGAAACTGTCGCACAGAGGCACGATTAACGGCTGTAATTGCATACGTGATCGCGACTGCGACTGCAAACGTTGTTGCGGCTTTACAACGCTTGGTGTTTTCGTAGCGTTAGCGATAGAACAGGTGGCGCCACTTATCCGATGCTTTCTTCTGGACTCGACCCGATTTTGCCGTGTCTGTGGTTTCGATGGCATCTCGACCGTCACCAGCTTCAACGAATCCGCGTTGATCGTCAAAAAGGACGTCTTTCCGTGACACGTTTCTTTCACTTTCGAACTGAAATTGATGATCTTCTGCCACTTGAGACGGGGCTTCTTCTTCCTCGACTTCCGGCTGCTTTCTTGCCGCTGATCCTCCACATTCGGGCTGGCGTCTCTTGTGCTCTGTATTTCCTCGCGTTTACATTTGCTTTGCGTTCCTCTGTCGTTCCCGTTGATGTTTATGTATTCGAGAGATTCCAGTCGTTTTGTGCACGATCTAAAACAAAAAGTAGTCGCAACCAAAGATCTGTAACTAGAAGATGATCTTTCCGGTGGCGAAAATAGTGTGATCTAACCTAAGTAACACGTCGCTGTCCATCTTGTTCTGTGTCAACGCCATATTGGAAACACCCCAACTCAGTGGCCCTTTGACGAATGGATGATCGAGCCTTTTATCAATGCATTCCTCGTCGCTTGGAGGGACTCCCATCCATATTTGTTGTCGCAGCGAACTCAGCTTGATCTGTATATCTGGACCTTTCAAGGGCACTGGCGATCGATGTCTCAGTGCTCTGTATTTTAATTACAGTAATTGACAATTATGTCAACAAAGGTGGTACATGTTTCAGATTCGTTTTATTCGCATCAGGACCATCAGGAATGTTTTTATACGCAATTTTGCAATTTACCTAACCAAATGAAGACATGGCGTTCTTTTGTTTATCCTTCGTTCTTCTTTGTTCACGCTTAAACTCTCGTCCAAGGATAGGCAGCAACGTCTCACGATTTCCGGTAGGACCAGGTCATCGCTAGAGAGTAACTTTCTCTCGCTTGTTTCCATTTCTCTGTCGATCGCGTGACTGGACTCGTCTCTGTAGCGTTCGGTAAGTCCTTTCGAGGAACCTACACGA